TACAGACTGTTAGTGCAGGTATCTGATGGGGGTATCTGTTGGGGGAATGGAGGCTTAGCCATCCTTGCACTTGCTCTCATGAGGCTGGCAGGCAGGGCTGCTCTTAATTTGACTCTGATCAACATTGCTGGCAGGGGCCCTGAGAAGTAGAAAATAGCTGCACAGTGGTTCACTCTGGTCTGGATCCCACTTTGCCTGGCAAGGATGAAAGAGCAGCCTTATACTAGTGTTTCAGCAACTGAGGAGGTATGCTCCATGGGATAGACTCCTGAGCAGGGCATTTCTGGCCCTAGGTATTCATGGAGGAAGAGTGCAGAAGCCTCAAGGTCACATCCCAGCAGGGAAAGGGAGAAGCTTTGTCCACAGGGACTTTGGAACCTCCTCTCTCCTCTGTGGGAGGGCTGCACTGATGCATGCCAGGGATCCCCATATTTGGTCAGTGACACAGCATTTTGGCTGCCTTAATTGGCTCTGACATGACAACGATTGCAACTGGCACCTGCTGAGCCCTCAGGGCCATCCGAGGCAGCAGCTGCCACTGACAGGAGCACACACGATCCCTGGCCCAACATCACAAAATTACAGAGACATTTCTCATGTAGCTGGTAGCATCATGGTGTCTGCAAAAGGGGCCAAATTCATCCCCTCTGTGACTCTACAGAGAGTGCTGAGATGCCAGCAAGGCACTTGAGATCTGAGCAGAGTCTTTTCCTTCAGCATTTTGGGGTTCACTCTCCTCACAAGGGCTGGAAAGGTTCTATGGTGAACAAGCCTTATGTCCCATAAACTAGAGGGCTGAAGCAAGCAGAGACTGTTGTTTGTCATTTGTTTACTTGGGCTAACTCCAGCTCCAGGTCTGGAAAGTCACAGTGACCCTCCAAGAGCCCATCAGTCTACATCTTTTCTCCTAAAGGCTACTGCCTACTGTGGGGTCCCTACAACAGCAAGTAACTCCAGCTGCACCTGAGCCAGGAGGGCCAATCACAGAGGTCCCCCTGGCTGCCCCATGCACAGAGTCCCTCCAAGTCCCCGCTGATTCCATTTCCACAGACGAGCTCAGTGTGAACTCTCCACTGCTCTGCTCCCTGCATCTGGAGCAGCTAAGGCACTGTCCATCCTTCCTGCTGCAGAGTAGCTTGGCCAGAAGCAACATGAATCCAAGGCAAACAAGAGAAGACCAGAGGCACATTTATTCCTCTTTCCTCCTGAGAGCTGCAGGCACTTTTACAGACCAACAAGCACCTTCCATCTCCACAAAGGTCAGCCACCAGCTCAGAAGCGAGGCACTGGGATCATCTCTCCCCTCTTCTCAGTCCCCTTCTGGGCTAGAGCACAGCAGCTGTTTAACAGCCCACTGTGACACAGCCTCACAGTTTAGGATAAGAGTGACCCTTGCCATTTGGGGTGAGAGAAGAGCACCTTGCATGGTGCTCAACAAGCACTTGACCTAGGAGAAAGCTTGCATTACAAGTCCCTCACAGTAACACTTTAGTCGCCCTCTTTTTTCAGTTCCAAATCCCTTTTTCCAGCCGTCAGGCTTAAGAAGCATAAATCTGGCATATATATGGCTGCCTCACAGCCCTTCTAAACACTGATAGTGAGAAATAGGGGTCTGGCACCATGGATTCCTCATCCCTGTCCCCCCATCCCTCCCTGCTCAAGCCCAAATCTGAGGCCTTTAGGACTCTTCCTTCCCTTTTCCTTCCTCAGACTGTTCTTCTTTCCCCACTGGTTGCTCCTGTTGTGTTATCTTCACCTCGTTGACTCTGGCCTTCACCTCCTTCCCCATCCGGGGAGCCACAATGCTTAAGATGCCATCGTGGGACAACGTGGCTCTCACCAGCAAGGGGTCAACATCCAGAGGGAGGATGTAGGTCCTGGTGAACTCTCGGGAGATGAAGCCATGGCGGTCAGCCTTCTGTGGGTGCTGTCCCATCACCTCCAGCAGGTTGTCTACGGTGCGGACAGTGAGCTCATCTGGCAGGAAGTGACAGACATCCAGGAACACCTGGAATTTGTGCTCATTGAGGCTGATCTCAGAGGTGCCTCGATCCAGCTGCTTATTGATCCGAGGCCTGATGTAGTAGCCGTGGTACAGAGCAGGGGCTAAAATCTCACATGGGGACACACCTGAAAATGAGACTCAGTCAGGAGTGTGCTGTTTCCGGGGGAAGGAGTCGGTTGGCAGCAGATAGGGGAGGGTGACAGGAGGAGGCTGGGACCTGGCAAACACCTTGGTTTTGCCACCACATCAGCACTATATGGATGGAGCCTCCTGCGGCTCCTACCTCTGTGTCTCCAAAACACAGAGAGACCCAGATGCCTGCCAGCCACTGCCTCTCACCACACAGCTGGCAGCTGCCAGCCAACCCAAGGACATCCATCTTTCGCATGTCTGCTGGGTGCATAGGGAGGCACTGGGTGCTCTGCAGTGCAAAGCCCACAGCCAGGGATGGGCATGGAAAATGCTGATGGTGAAAAACTAAATGCCTTTTGTGTGCCATTGTCCAGGGGGCTTTCCTTGGAGCTTTTTGCCTTTTCACACTGTTGTGCTGGTGCTGAATGGTTCTGCTGCTGCCCACATTCCTTCCCCTTTGCCAGCTACTGCCCGGCTTTGTGCTGAACACCCCAGCTCAGCTTTTCTCCACTGCCCCCGGCTGCAAAAACTCCCCTCTCCCCCCTCCCTGGCACATTTTGCATTTGTATATGTTTGCACAGCATATGCATGAATGCCAGACCATTGGGGGCATGAGGGAGGGACAGGAGAAGCAGCAGTAGGCATGGATGGAGGAAGTGGACCTGAAGAGAGAGACCCTGGCTATTCCCTGGTCATTCCCCCCTGATTTGACCTGGGTTCTTACACTCAAAATTCCTTGGCTCCAGCTTCCCTGGCCTGCTCTGGAGCTCAATCTCCCCAGGGGGACTCCACCAGCCCTCCTGCACCAGAGGAGAGAAAGGTGCTGGGGGTACCCCATCTATTTTCTTACCTTCACCAAAGTTCTGGTCGTAGATCTTGCTAGGGTTGGCAAACTCGTACTCCGAACTCATGGGGTAGGCATGGGGGACAGTCCGTGCAGACATGGTGTGTTCGGGAAGGGGACCTTCCAGCACTCACTGCCTCTGAGAGTGAAAGCTGCAGATTGAAAGGTTTTAATTGGGTGAATTCCACAGGGAGGAGTGTGTGATAAAAAGATGGACGAAAATAGCCACGCGCACAGCCCCAGGATGCCTCGCCAGGGTGACGAGGGAAGCTTCTCACTGCATTCCAGAAGGGAGTGCAGGCACTGCCAGCAGTCAGGGACGCCTCAGGAAAATTCTGCACCTCTTTCCAGCTTTCAAGATCCCTTCCTTGAGCAGGGCGTGCAGAAGGCAAATGGGCATCCACGTACAGCAGGGAGGCACAAAGGTGTGCTGAGGAAGGCTGAAGTAGGAGAAAGCAGGGCAGACTCCAGGCTCTGCTGCCTGTGGTGCTCCCACAGGCAAGGGCCAGCAAGAAGGCTTATTGCAAGAAGGCTCAAGGAGTCCCTGACAGTGGTCCAGCTGGCCCTGAAACACCACGTGTGGACAGGGCAGTAGCTAATGCTGGGTGGTGCTTGATCAGGTCGTGCAAAGTCATGTGAAGTCACTATCACACCCATCGCCCTGCTATGAACTTAGGGCCCAAATCAGCCTCTCCTGTGCCCTACACAAAGGAGCTTGATTTTCCTAGAAGCTGAGCAGACAGCTCAAGCCTTTTGTTTCCATGAGTGGTGAAATGCTGCAGATAGTTAAGCAGGTCTAGACAGGATCCAGATCCCACTACTGACACCTCCACATCCCAAACTGTGCTGCTGCGAGCTGGCTGTCCAGACTGTCCCCTGGCCAGGGCTTTGACACAATGTAATGAGACCCGGAGAAATGCCTGTGCCAGAGATCACTAGTTAATCAGGGATCTGAAGGTGGCATAGAACTAGTTTTGTTGAAATAGGGGGTGGGGGGTGAGGGAGGGAAGTAGTGCCCAATTAAGCTCCTTGTCCCCTGAAACCAGAGATTTTCTTGAGTCCATGTCCCTGCAGTATGAGAGAGCAGGTGCGCTACTGTTGATATAATGGAGAATTAGAGAAGGTATTTATGGCCTGCATTTGCACAGACCAAATTCTTCTCCCTATTCTTGCAGGCAAGCTGAGAGGAAGAGGGTCAGACTGTAAAGCCAGTAATTGTATTTAAGTTGCGAGCTCTCAGAGGCAGAGAATAGCTATTGCCCTTTAAGGACAGTTGCTAGGCTGAAGCCATTCTTCCCATGATTTAGGTTCACAGGTGAGGCAGGAATTAAAATAAGTGTGTGAATTGAGATGTATTAGGAGCATAATTCTAGGAAATCATCTTAGTGGAGGGGCACAGGCAGACAGAGGTAGGTAGGTAGCTTGCATCCCTGAAAAGGTGTGCAGCACCATGGAGGCCATTGGCATGCCCAGTTTATCTCTGCTCACAGCCCTCTGGAGTACTCTGAGGTCACAGTGTCAGGCTCTTCTGGTCTTTCCAGCAAAGTGGTTTCTGTAATGGGCAAAGGACGAGAGGTTTTGGGCTGTAGCACTGTGGAGAAAGCCATCCTTCATTCACTCACACCAATGGGCATGCACTAAGGCAGCAGGGCTTAGTGGTCTGCAGGGAGCTGCACCCACCTCCTGGGATCTTTCCTGCCCCCTGACTAAAGCAGGCCTGTGGCTTCCTTTGCCTTAAGAAGAGGCAAAGGAACTCTCTAGTCTCTTCCTAGACTGGTGGGTGATGTGGGGAGCTGAAGTCTCAGTGCTGGCAGTGGCAACAATGGCCCCTTGTCATTTTCCCTGTGAGCCAAAGATAGGAGCTGCATTGATCCTGCTGGCACCCAAAGCAGCTGTGAACATCCGCCAAGCCTGCCTGTGACTCTGCAGATAAACAGCACGTGGGGAGCGGGGCGGGCGGCTGGGCAGTTTGGCTTCTTGCTGCCCCATTAGGCTCCTTTTCTTCTTCTCCCCTTCGCCCTCCTCCTCAGCAGTGTGTTCAAATCCCCCAGACAGCTACTGGGCACCACTGAAGGGACCAGCCCAGGACTGGGACAATAAAATCCCTGACACCACTGTTCAAGAGGCCTCAGCGGGGGGGGGGCAGGGGGAGGCCAGGCCAGCTGCATGGGTATAAAGCTGTCCCTAGCTCCCGACACAGCACTGCAGCACAGTTGTTTGCCAGGCTCCTCCAGCGCACTCCAATGGATATCACCATTCATAACCCCCTGATCCGCAGACCCCTGTTATCTTGGTTGGCACCGAGTCGTATCTTTGACCAGATTTTTGGAGAGCATCTGCAGGAGTCAGAGCTGCTCCCTGCTTCCCCCAGCTTCAGTCCCTTCCTGATGAGATCCCCCATTCTTCGGATGCCCAGTTGGCTAGAGACGGGACTCTCTGAGGTAATCTTCCCTTCTTAATGCTCTTTGTTATCACTGTGTGCACATCCTGATGGGTCTGGAGCTGGAGACCCATGAGAGCTGAGAACTTGAAAGTTGCTTGTAGGTGGTTATTAGGAAAAGGCTGGGAAGAGGGTGTTGTGTTTGTGCCTCCGCTCCTCTGCATTAGGCAAGAACCTCTGCAAGCTCTGTTAATCATTTGTGACTGAGAGTAAGTATTGCCGTAGTGATAGGAATAGAGGCAAACTGAGTTGAGTGTGTGTGGGAAATGACTGCAAGAGCTGATGAAAGAAAGGAGTAAGCCTAATTCCCCTGTCTGCTCTGCAAAACTTTCAATCCCACTACCTCCTGAGAAGCAAACAACACAGGGAGTGGTATCCTCATGTCAGGCAGTATGGGAGCTCCGGGTTGCTGAGGAAAAACAGGCTTAAAGAGTCACTACTGAGGAGAGCAGCTTTTTAAGAAAAACACAGGACCCAAAGGATCATGAAGCAGCCATCTGCTTGCTTCAGGGACTGAGCACACAGTTCAACCAACCTTGCCTGTTCTGTGAGTCAACTGTCTTATTTACAAGTAACTTGTAGAGCTATTCTAAGCCAAAATAGTGAGAGGAAAGTATTTTTTTAATCTTCCCTTGAGTGACCTGGGTCTGGCTGTCCACTGAAGCAGACATAATAAGCACCACAGATAATAACATCTGACTATCTCAGTGGAGAAATCTTCACAAATAATGTAGAAGGAGGAGGAGGAAGCATTCAGATTCCCAGGTCAAACTGCAGAAACCAGTAAGCCTAGAGCTGGCACAGAGGTTGCTTCCACGTCCCAGAACAGAGCTCCAGGAGGCTCGTGTGCTTGCTGACTATGAATACAGCAGGAAGGCAGAGACAGCCAGCTCATATAGCAAAGTCCCACAAATATGTCCAAGAGAGGCAGAAAATGCAAACTCAACCTCAGGAAACAGTAAAAAGCAATATTTGTTAGAGGTGATAAAGTGCAAAATGGAA